CTTTTGGTATTAAGTTCTTGCAGCGCTGTATTCAACTGTGTTAGGCTCAACGGAAATTTTTAATGGGCTATTATTGTTGTTTAGTCAATGGAAATTTTTCAAAAAAACATTGATGTTCGGCGCATAAATGTCAAATTGTAATAAATACAAAAAATATCTATCAAAAACATTGTGAAACTATAGAATTGAATCTTTGAAAAGCGATATTACTGACACCCAATATTGTGAGAAGATTTGAGATCTATGTTAATTGCAAGACTTTCATTAAAAATATTTTCAGAAGTAAACTTTTTAACTTCTTCTTAGGCTTATATGTTATTCGTCATGATTTGATAGAAAAGTGTTAGCACTTATAACATTTTAAAATAATTTTAATTAGTATAATAGTTATTCGCTTACATTAAAAATTTTATTGCATTAAAATTTAATTACATACAAATTTCTTTAGCTTACACAACAATATTTATATAAATTTTCCTGAAAAAAATTATATAAGTGGCAACGCTTAACTTTTTTTTCTGTTGTAATAACTATTCTTAAACCTCTACAATTTTTATAGTTGCCATATCTTATAATTTTTTCGCCGATAAAATTTTCAAACAGGTTGAGTATCTGGTTTTTAACCGTACAAAGAAATGATTAAAATCTTTATGATCCTCTCTGATTGCTCGCGCTATTATTAATAGCATTTTGTGGCGTTGACAAGTTTTAATATCTGAAAATGTGTACCGACCTCTGTGAACTTTTTGAAATGTCGTTATTGACATATACCGCGCATGCATATTTTATAGCTTATCCATACAGCCATTAAGCTTTGCGAACGAATATTAATTTATAATTATTCATTTCTGCTTATTAATTATATTAAAAATTAATTAGCTCGATTAAGCTTGGCTATGTGCTGCTTATTAGCGAGGCGTCAAAGAGCCATCCGTGTTCTGTGTGTGGTAAATGTGTGACAATTTCGCCTAGGTAAACGATACTATGGGAGGATTTTTTTTTAATATAGACTTGAATAAATATAGGTTAAGCATTCTAATACAATAGAGTCAAAATATAAGGCCAGATTCCTACTAGAAATAAAAAAAAACTAAAGCGTAAATCGACTTATGCTGTTTTTAATATATTGCAGTTTTATATTTTTTTTTTATATAATCAGATAGAAAAATTCAAATCTTGCTTCACGAAATTTTTAGTAAATTTAATATTTTAAAATATGGTCTCTTACGGTTTCGTTAACCGAACCGCTTAAAATATATTAACAGTTGTAGTTTGATTATTTTTATGCAAATTTGTATTTTTCTTGATACTGTCACAAAATCTATGTACGCACGTCTAATTTGAAAAAAAGACAAATTTGTGGAGCAAACCTTTATCAGCTACCACAACAGTTGGCTTTGTGCTGCAAAATTCCCGCATAAATAATTGTCTGTTATGAAAATATTGTTACCATGTGTCGAAAAAGTTATTTGTTACAAACTAATATTTAACTCGTGTTATTTTGGTTTTCCAAATTAATTAAATTGATAATAAAACTATAATAATATACTATACATTTTGGTTATAACTTTCTATGTATGTATTTACGCAGGTTTGTATGGCATATGTATGTATTTGTGCGTTTTTATATATGGTACATGTATTTTCTATGCGTACAGCTTGATTTTAATATGCCAAATATTTGACATGTTATTATAAATTCGCACACTTTACCCCCTCTATGTATTCATCTTTGGCACATACCTACATACATATGTATAAATCGTATAAGTATGTTTGTTCATATGACCCGCCGGACAGATTAATCAGAGACCCTTCGGCCATCTGCTTAGTAACTGCACTAATATTTATGTCAAGTAACGTCAACAAATCGACAAGTCATCGATCATTCTATATATATATGCATATAATTGACAGCATTTATATTAAATGATTAAATTGGATAGTTAAGGGTCTGTAGGAGAAAGTGTACGCAACGAAAAATTGGCATTGCGGAACTCTGCAGTAAAATGAATCAGTTGCAAGCTACCACAAGACTAGTATTAATCTATCAAGTCAGCCGAATATTTTTTTATTCGAACAATTTTTCTTCCTAAAAAGAGCTAATATTTTTGATATGACGATATTTTACCAGCTGTCAATGTCAAAAATTCGTGAAAATCTGATAATCTAAGGCTAGTTCAAAGTAGTCAAAAAAAAAAAACTCTAGTAAAATTATGGATCAAAACCACTTTTTTATTGAAAAGTAGTAAGAAATAAATGAAATTGTAGTCATAAATGCCGAATAAAAATCATTTTGTAAGGTGGAATATGAAATGCATATTGACATTTGGACAGCAAATCAGATACAATTCTTATATAAAGTCAAAACTTCTAAATCGTTCAAGTGTCTATAAGTCAATAAATGATACAAACCTGCTTTTTTGTGGAAGAGCCCAACAACAGTCGAGGAGATCTAGTTACAAACTAGTATATATTCTGCCAGTTAGTAAAAAAAAATGACAGTATACAATATTTCACTATATAAAATAAGATATCTTTTCTATATATATATAAATGTTCATGAATTATTGTTCTTCTTAAAAGTAGAATGACTTCAGAAATCGTTGATTAATTCATATCATACAAGCAAATATAGCAATTTCGAAGACTAGAAATACGGGATTCGGTTGGTGTTTCAGGTTATTGCATTCGAGCTTTAAAATTGTGAGTCGGACAAAAATAGTAAATTTTAAAGCGAAATTATAGATATATTTGAAAATAGAAGGAATCTCATTTCTGGCAAACATAAAAATATCATTATGTATTTTTTAGAATAAATATATTAAAATAATGTTGTGCTGTACTTCGCTCGATTCCGAAATGGATTTTAATTCTTCGTTTGAAGAATCGTTATATTTTTTATAATTTTTCCTACTGGCTATATGTGAATAGAAGCGCACACACAGCTTAGCGGCAGCGGAGGCGTTGCAACTAACTGATAAGTGCAGAAAATATTCGTATTTTGACATTTTCGAAAATTCAGTTGATGTTTACTGTGGCGATGATGAAATCAGTTGTTGCCCGATCACGTGCTTAACATGAGCCAACATAAGCGCCAAAGCGAGTGACCGCGAACACTGCACTTGTAAATAATAACAATTACAACAGCAACAACATTAAAAAAGGTCAATATTGACTTTAAAGTGTTTACGAAGTGCGAATGCATTGACACAGCGGACACAGCGCAGCGAAAATCCGAAACTGATAGGCAATTTTGTTCAGCCTTTCGAAAATTATTTTCCTGGCAAATATTTATAAAAATGAAAAAATAAAACAAAAACTAAGACTGCTGGTTGAGCAGAGATAATCATATTTAATTGACTTTCCTTGCGTTTTCATGAGTTTTCACTATTTCCGTTTTGTTTGCTACTTTTCAGATGACACCCGATCGCGACGGCGCCTAAAAGCTGGTATAAAAAAAAAAACTAAAAATATTATATGCAAAAAAGCGCAGATGAAATAAAAGCTGAAACGCGAATTTACAAATTCAAAACAGTGCATATAATAAAGACAGTTATTTTATGGGTATATAAAGTGTGCCGAGGCTTAGCGGACCGCCAGGAAGAAAATCGCAAAGCAGAAAAATTAAAAAAAAAAACATTTGATGCTTAGTAATCCCGAAAAATACAAACGAAGACTAAACTGTTATTATAGTGTTGTTGTTGTTGCACTTGCTTTTGGTTGTTTTTTTTTCCGTTGACTAGATGGAAACCAGACGCGACGCTGCATAAGTTCTGAAAGACTTTACGCGTAGGAGAAATTCACAGACGGAAGCACATGAGTGCCGAAAAATGTGCGGAAAAGAAACCAAAAGCTGCGGCAAACAATACTTTGTGGATGATGTGCAGATAAACAAAGCGCAGATAAATAAATAAAAGAGCAAATGCAAAATTTAAGTGGCGTTGAGCGGGAGCGACGGTGAACCAAAATCAATAGAGGCTATTATTCCAATTAAAAAGTGGCTAAATAAAGTGATATGAAAAAGAGAAAAAAGACGATTTTAAGCAGAAAAGTGTTGGCTAACAAAAATAAAATTATATACAATTATATGCATATGTACATATATATATAAAGGAGTAGTGCAAGCAAAATTTTAAACAATATAATTGTGCAAAGTAAAGTCAAAGTAAGTAACTAAAAACAAGTAAAATAAAGAGAAACATAACTTAAAAAATGATTCAAAATAACTAAAACTAAACGTTACAACAAAAAGTCTGTACAAAAATAACAGAAAAATACCAAATGAGAAATAAAACTTAAGAGAAATTTTAAAAACGGTTTTAACAAAAATTTGAAAATTAAAAGATTACCAAAACACTTGAATCTACTACAAGAACAAATTGAAATTATTGAAAATTGTACGAAAAAATATGTGAAATATATGTAAAATTATTAAGGTTAAAGTTAAACTTGCGGAGTGCCATGCTTTAGCGGGTCTAGAGAAACCACAACTTTAATGAAAAATAAAAATATTACCTAAGGCAAGAGTTAATTAAAAAAATTTAATTGAAAAGTATAGCTTAAACTTCAGTGGCAATAGAATTGTAACAAATCATAAAAATTCAAAAAATTTAATCAATTTTGATCAAAACAAAAACAAAATAAAATAAATAAATAAAAATTATATTTCGACAGTTTAATGTTTGGTTAAAAATTTATATAAAAATAAAAGTTGAAATTCTGAAACATTTATTTAAAAAATATTAAACAATTAATCAAAGACTTTATGCTACAAAAAAATTAAAAAAGTTAATTCAATTCAATTAATAAAAATCAAAAAAATAAAAATTGACGAAGTAACTTTACGTCGAAAAAAAATTTGATGATTTTAAATTATACTAGCAAATAAAAAAAACAGAAACTGATTTTATTGAACACAACAAGAAAAATTGTTGAAAATTATTTGAACAAAATTTAATAAAGTAAAATAATAAAGAAAAAAGTTTGTGGAAAAATACGACAGCAACTTTAATAAAAAACCTCATAAGAATACACTAAAATAAAAAATTGTGAAACATAAAAGTTTTTAATATTAAAAATAACAGAGAATAAAAAATTAATAATAATTGAGAAAAATATTTCGAAAAGTTAAATTTTTAAAAATTTATTTAGCAAAGTAACGACGTAAAATAACAATTAATTTGAAAAATACAGAAAATGTTTCTGTATCAAAAACTGTTTTAATATAATATATAATAATTATTGAAAATAAATAAATAAATATTTTTGCACTTGCTTTAAGGAATATTAAAAAATATTTATAAACTTACAATAAACCACAAATAAAGTAAAAACAATTTTTGCAGATAACTTAATTTATATTTATTTAATTAAATTAATTAAAATGTGCAGTGTTATTAAATAAAGTAAACAAAAAGCTTAAATAAAAAAATTTAAATTAAAAAAAAAATTTATTTAAAAAGATGTATAAATTACAATTCTTTATATAATTGAATTTTGTGATAGAAATCGTGTAATACGAAGAAAAATATATTTAAAGTAAATTTTAATACAAATACAACATAAACTAGCCTACAAATATCACAAATTAAAAGAAAATAAAAACCGACGAAGACGCAGTTTCAGAACAACATCGCGCGCTTATGCCAAACCACACAATATATTTGCGCTAAGCTATTTTTAAAAGACCAAAGGCACAGAAGAAGAAACAACACAAAACGGTAGTAAAAAAGACACACCCAAGCACACGCTGAACACGCCAAAGAGGCATGATAGTCAATGTAAATTGAAGGCGCGCGTGCGACACCTTCGCCACCACTGATATCTGCGAACGAAACCACACAATTAATCAATGCGTAAGTTAACTGCAGAAAAAAGTGGAAAAATTTCAACAAAGTCTAACGATATGCCGCCCGCCAGTGGGCAATTAAAGCATACACATGTCAATAGAGACGAAACGGAAGTCAACAAGCCAAGCGGCAAGTGAGCGCAGCATACGATAAATGGGCGAGAGTAGATATCTCGTGCAGCGCGCCATACTTACAACAAAGTAGCCGACAAGCAACTCCAACAACAAACAAAATATAGCATGACTTGTGGAAACACCAGCGGCTAGCTTGCATGAATAAACATATACATTTGTATATGTGTGTATGCGCCAATATATGCCTAGCGCACTATCAAAAAGAAAGAAGCAAAAAATCAGTGTATCGACTTATCATCACACAAACACAACCTATCGTGGGAATAATTCAAGAATCGCTGGACTTCGTAACATTTGAACGACGTGTAGCGTATTAAAGTGCCGCATTAGCGGTGTGAGAGTGCGCGTATAAATTTAGAGTACAGCGCGGCTGCTCAATGTGCTCAGCGCGCTCTTGAAGCAGAAAATCACGAAAAGTGCTGCATAAAAGCGAAGCAGTTCGCGCTAGAGAGCCCAAGTGATACAACACTTTGTACCTGTTGGGCGCGAGTGTGAGCGCGATCATTGTCACAGCCACCCACTTGTGCGCTCAGCTGTTTGCTATCGCTGCGATCAATAGCGAGGCGCTCGCATTAAATATATGAACAACGCGCCGCTCGCAAATTTGTGCGCTGGGCAATTGGATATATTACATGGCTAGCGCGCGGCGACCGCTCTACAGTTTTGCTTGAAACGTTTTGGAGTGCAGATCGTTGAAGTTGCAAAGTGAAGAAATTTGAAAACGGTCAAACGCGAAACATACGACTCGCAAAAGAAAAAACAAATACAATAATTTTTTATTATATTATATGTAAAACTGAATGCTGAGTAAATGTATAATGTGTAAACGGTTAGCAGCGTTCAGTTGAAGCATTAATTTTTGCCAATAATCATTCAAGTGTTACAATATAAAGGCAAACTCATAAACGCCAGCTGCAAGTTGAAAAAAGTTTGCCAAGCAAAAGCCAACGTACAGCCAACTGGAATTGTGAAACAATGAATTTATATATAGTTAAACAAAAAAATGTGTGAAATTGTGTTTAAAAATTCCGCAAACTTGTGGCGTGTGTAGACTACAAAATAAAAAAGAAAGAAAAAACTCAAGCGCTCACACTAACAATAAGCGCTCGCAACGCGGCAGAAAGCAAAAAGCGCAAAGCAACCAGTAAACTGGTAATAAAGTGAACGCGCCTGTGAATTGTGCACAGATTTGAAAATAAGCGGCAAAGCGCCAGAAGAGATTTTTAGTTAAAGTTGTATAAAATGTCCACGAGCCAACAGTCCAACTGAGGTTGAGTGTGGGGCGCAAAACGTTGAAGAATAAACATAAAATATTAATGTACATAAAAAATATACATATACATATATATGTATAGTTGTGATATAAAAAGTTAAAAATATATATATATTTAAGTCACAGCAGCCAAGGCAGACGCGTACGCGCTAGACAGTGAGAAACTTCAGCATTAACGCGCAAGCGAATTCCAACTTAATATAAATAAGTAATAATTATACAAAAATACTGCAAATCATACAAAAAGTATAGACAGTGACTGTAAGTGCTGAAAAAGTGTGCAATTAAAGTTCGAAATACACACGCGGAGTCGCTAAGCAGAGCAGTCAGCCACAAAGGCCAAATAAACCTTTTACATTTGACAAGAAAAACACAGTGACTAAGCGAAAAGCAGCAAAGCAGCAAAGCAATAGTGTAGTTTGTTGGCGATCAAAAACTTTTCCGCCATAAACATAAGAAAAAATAAAAAAAGTGAAGAAAGAGTAAGGCTCGCGCGCCACTCGATAGATAAAGCAGTTCAAAGGGAGCGACAAGGCGTGAAAAATCGCGAAGCTAAAAACGCGGTGTGCGAAAATACAAAAAAACAAAAATTGCAGCAAAGTGTGAGGTGGCATTATTTGAAAACAAAAAAAAAACAGTAAAAATTACCATTGAACGTTTTTACCTATTGCTCATAGTGTGTGCCACGCTCCTGCGCGCAGTGCAGGCAAATGCTGACTAAGCGCCAGCAACAATAGAAAAAACAGTTGAAAGGTAAAATTTGCAGTGTTAACTGGTGTAACGCGTAACGTTTTAGAACACCGAACGCGCGTGCGCATTTTTTGTTTAAATAAACAGTTTATTGTTGTTGTCAAAACGTATACAAATGCCGCGTCAGCTGCTTACGCACCTCAGATTTACAACATTAAAGCAAAAGCAACAAAAACAATACAGTGCATTAAAAAATAAAAGTGAACATTTTCTGTGCAGCTGGGTACTAAAGTTCTTAAGAAACCCGTTAGTTTGTTAAATCTCGCAGCGCATGCTAATCAGGTACACCCGCCACTACAACAAATAATGGCCATAGATTTTCTAATACTGGCGCTATTGCTGTTCTCGTTCGTCATCAATTTGCTGGCTTTGGGCGCATTCTGGGTCACGCCTGGTCTGCGTACCACTGCCAATCGTTTCACCATCAATTTGCTGGTGATCAATTTGATCGGTTGTCTTATACTGGCGCCCACATTGTTTCTCAGTCAGGCAACGCGTCGCGGCGCTAGCAAGGATGCTGCAACTAATGCGTCTGTATTGTCACTTGCCGCGACGGCGAGCGATGATCGCATCGAGATACTCGCAAAACCGGGTAATCGCCAGATGACCATTAAACATAATGGCAAATTGTTGGAGCAAGAGGGCGTTATTGTAAAGCATAATTTGACGAACGCACAGGATGCGCGCACAATTGAAACCATTTACAAGTGCAATTCGACATATTGTCAGGAGTTGACAATCGATGAAGGCACCGATACGATTGTTATCACCGAAATCGAAGAGGCGAATCATCATGCTGAAGTGGCAAGTACAGCGCCTGTTGATGTCGTTGCAGCGCTGCTGCCACGTCCACATATACGCTGCTGGTCCATCGATATGGCGGCCGCTTTGGGCGCGCTTGGCGTGCTGCTTGTCGTTGGCGATACTTGGTGTGCGGTCACTGATCCACTGCGTTATCATACGCGCATATCTAGCTTGAAGACATGGATATTCATTGCGCTCACTTGGGTGGTGGGTTTGATGTTTGGCGCGCTATCTGCCTTTCGTGAAATCGATTTTACCACAAAAACTGTGCTACACGAGCAGCAAGGCTTTGCGGAATTGAGTTTAAGCTCGGCTAATAGTATTTTTGGCATCAGTTTCGCTTGCGTTTACTTCCTCGTCATTATACTGCTGCCGTTCGGCTTCGTTTGTGGCATGTATTGGCGCATATTTAGCGAAGCGCGTGAAAATGGCTTGCGCATGCGACAGAATGGTTCATCGCCGTTGTTGCAAAGTGCGCTCAATTTGACACATCATCAGCAAAGCTCATCACTGCAGTATTCAAATATGTGCGCCCACCGCAACTCCGTCTCATCGGCGTCATCGAATGGCGGTGGCAGCGCCTGTGAACGCGGCGGCTTGCAGATGCAGATTGATCAACGTAAAAGTTCGCCTGTATGTGCGCGTCGCGATTCCGCCGCTAAAGTGCTGCTACCCACTATCTCCGATGATGGTTTGTCAGATGAAGCGGCACAACTCGAATCCGGCGATTACAACGCCGAACCACTAGTGCCGCTTACACAGCAACCCAACTATGCGGATCGTAATCAAAATATCCTGCTGACATTACAAACTGCGAGTGGTGAAATCAAGCGCAATTATTCGGCACGTCAGCTGCCATTGCTCGGCACATCATCACAGGATTTGCTGGAAACGAACAGGTTAGAAGGTGTGCGCCAAGTGCATTCTTCGCCCAATCTACATAAGTACACGCAAGATCCGCTCGATACCAGCTGTTCGCCACACCTGTTAGGTCATGCGCAATTGCATACACATCACGCTGCCAGCACCATCACCACCACTGGCACACGCCAACAACATTTCGTGTCACAGAATGCGCATAATCGCCAGCACTCACATGTGCTGCAAATACCTTGCCTGCCGCATAGCTCACCGAAAGCGCTTAGCTACATGTCAACGCTACGCCATCGCCTATCGAACGCTTCATCGCTCTTCAAGTATCGCGAAGAATCGCGCACTGTGCGCATCAGCATACTAGTGATCATAATGTTCCTGGTTTCGTATTTGCCTTATGGCTTCTTAGTCGTGCTGCAGAGTCGCTTCCGCAGCGCCAACTTCGAACATTCCACACAGCTTGCCATCTTCATGCTGCTACTGGGCAATCTTACATCACCTTTCATATTTGCGTATCGCAATAAACGAGTACGCCGCGGCGTTAAACGTCTCTTTGGTTTCGAAACAAGTACGCGTGAGCGTTCGCTGCAGCGTCAGAGTAGTTCCTGTGGACGCGGCAGTGGCTTTCTCAATCGTCATTGCGCAGGTACTCGCAACGCCGCCAACATTCGACGCAACATCAGTAAAGTATCAACATACTCATTGAACTCTTGCAAATTTTTAACGCCACAGAATTCGCTCAGCAGCGCCGTTGTGCCATCAGCAACGTCGTCTACAAACCGTCATAGCAGTCCCGCGCGCATACATGGTCTGCGCCCAAACAGCAGCTGCAGCACGATCATCAATTTTTGTGCGCCACCAGCAAAAGAGCAGGCGCTGCCGACGGCACAACAGCTGCAGCAGCAAAAAACAGCAGTAGATGCTACACAAAAGACTGCAAACCAGTCGTGTGACACTCCCACCGCCATCAAAGCTACATACATATTGAATATGAATGGCAATTCGCCGAATGGCACCGCGCGCATTACCGAAGCGCTGCCAGCGGCAAATGGCAAATTCGCACCCAAGCGCAGTCTCTTCAAAATCTTCTTTCAAGGTTCAAAGAATCTGAGCTGCGCTGCAGCGCAATCATGTGCACAAGGCAAAGATGCTGAAGTGGAACCAGCCGACGTATGAGTTGTGCAACAGCAACACAGCCTTGGCAGAAGGCCTAGCGAAAGTGTAAGGTACAGCATCGCCGACAGCGTAGCAGCACAATTGCTTGTGTCAATCAGCAGCTTTGCTATGCTACGTGCCAAGCCGATATTGAGAGGCGCATACAGCGGTCTACGTAACGTAGACACGATTGTGCAGTCCATAAACGGCCGGCAGCTGACAAAGCAGTAATTCGAGTGCTACAGCAGTTCGCAAATGGGCACCGACATAGTTGTCACCACAACGCCAGCAGCAACAACAACAAATGGCAGCGAAGTGGTACGCACATTGCAGTCATACAAACAGCAAACAGTCAGTATTAAGTATATATAATACATATTGTATATATACGTATATGATATATGTTTTTTTGTGCTAATGGACTCTAAATATGCTAGCGGTAGTTTAAAAAAATTCTATTATGAAAGCAATCGCTTTGTTAGTGGGCGTTTAAGCTGCCGCGCGCTCAGCAGCTGTATTTATAGCAACTTTGCATATATATAATACATAGTTGTGCTTGTGTGTATAGATTTGTTTAAAGAAGGTAGCTTTTTTTCTAAAATTAAAAGCTTAAACAGGCCATAAATTAAATTTCAGCGTGAAAAGTGTGTTATAAATTTCGTACAAATTATGTGCAAACAAGAAAGTCCGCTTAATCAGATAACAATATTTTAAATTGAAAAAAAATATTGAAATTATGGAGTACAATATAAGAAATTTTTAGCTAATTTTTGTCTAAACTCTATGCGATGTTTTTAAAAATTGTATGTAATGTGTGCCGAAATTGTATCTAATTTGTTCCAAATTGTGTTAATTTGTATTGAAAATGTATATATTTTGTACCAAATTGTGTTAACGTGTACCGAATTTGTTTCTATTTTGTACCGAATTGTGTTAATTTGTATCGAGATTGTTGTGATTAGTATCTAAAATATTTAAATTTCTAAATAAAAATTTAATTTTGACAAAAATTAAACCCATAGTGTATCCAATTTGTACCTAATTTGTACCGAAATTCGGTAAAAATAACAATGATTTTGCTTATATGCGTAAATAAAATACATACATAGTTTAAAGTAAATTTTGCACTATTTCACTCATTGCTGGTACCGCAAGTGTTCGTATGGTTAACTAGGAAACAAACAACAAGCACAAATTTTATTTGAAACATGAGAAAGGCATTGCTATCAATTTAAACTAATTATTTTTATTTATATACCTGTATTTGTGTGTATTTATTGGCTTATTTCCACAAGTGAAAGTGACCTAAAAAATTGAAAAATGAAAGAATTAGCAAAAATTTATACATATGTACATATATGTATATTTAAATGCATGTGAGCTGGATGCATATACATTTATGAAGAAACAGTAGAATTTATTTGAAAATGTAAATAAAATCACATTGTATATGTAATTTTAAATGGCAAAAACTAAGCAAAAGTCAATACATTTAGTGAGAAAAGAAAAAATTAGCAACTAAAGCTTTTAACTAGCAAAAATTTTTAGAAAAAATATTTAACAAGTGAAAAAGTTAGATGTGTATGTATTATATATGTATAAGTGAGACAAAATATAGGTAAATGTGTAACACAGCGTGTCACATACAAGCATAAGTATGTATAAACAGCAGAATATATTTACATACTTACTGATCATGTATATGTTTATACATATATGTACTTATACATATATACCAAAGACATGCATATTTACATTAGATTAACCTATATATTTACATGTTTTGTTCTACAGTAAATATTTAAAACAGTAGAAGTATAGAAAGAAGCAAAAAATTTAGTTCACGCTAGATTTTCAGAAGATTAATTACAATAATAAAACGCTGTTATACAAACTTCAATTGAACGTTTCATTTAATGCAACAACAAAGCTTTAATTACACTAGCAAAGTTATAATATTCGTAGTTAATTAATATACCTATATGTATAAATAAATAGTATGTACATAGAATTAAATTACATATGTATGTATATATGTTTATATATAGTATAAAACGAACACACACATGCATACAAGCAAAGCAAAGAAACAAAGTAAACAGAATCGAAGTAGAAAGCACTAAATGTTAAGTGTATAAGTTAAAGCAACAAAAACTGTAAGAAAAAAATTAAAACAAATTTTCATGCCATAAATTTACACAAATCAATTAAAAATCGAACTCTGCTTGAAATTGAAAATTTGCCTGAAAATTTGAGAGGAATATATACAAAAACAATTTTAAAAAATTATAACAAAGCAACCAAAAAAACTAAAATTAATGAACAAAAAAACAAGCTTTTTATTTGCTATAATTTTTACTATAAATATGTGCTATAATTTTTGCTTTAATATTTTTCGTTATATTTTAAAAGAGACAATTATGGCTAATTCATAATTGTTGTTATAAATTTTTAAAAAAATCTGCTATATATAATATGTTTGCTATAACTTCTGCATTATTTCTTTAACTTTAACATATTGAATTCTTTTTTTTACATTTTCAGCTGCAAATTTTTGCTATAGTTTTTTAATAACTCTTGCTATATTTTTATTGTTGCTATAAATTTAGTAAAAAATTTTGTTTTAAATTTTTACTATAACTTTTGGAATAATTCTTTAACTTTAACTTTGTTAATTTAGTTTTTCACTTTTAGCTACAAATCTTCTTGTACTTTTTTTCTATAAAATTTTCATACAATTTTACAATATTTTTTTTAGTTTTTGATATAAATTAGTTTTTTATTATTCTTGTTGTAAATTTTTGTTTAAAGTTTTGCTATAATTTTTTACATAATTACAAAAATCATTTACAATTACAATAAATCGTACATAGACTTGTCTACATTGACACACTCTTTACGAAAAAGTATTTCCTCTAATTAATATTTTTTGCACATTTAAATACTATTAAATTTTTTAATCAATTCGCAGTTGACTTATATTAAAAAGTAAATTTTTCTGCTGTACACGCACCCCTATATAAAGTATGTTTATGTTTGTAAATACACAACACTCTTTTTTCTGCGAGCTTCGACTTAACATTCACCTGACGTATTGCAATGCATCTTCAAGTGTGCAAACATTTACATATGTACATATACATATACACTTTTATGTATATATATACATACTTATTTGCGGTGCGACTGAAGTTTTTTAATGTTTAAATAAATAGTGGCGCGTTGCAATGACTTGCAATTGTACAGTGGGCAAGTAATGAGAAAAATTTCTTTCAAAAAAATACAATCGAAAAAAATATAAAAACATCAGTTTAAATATAAAAAAAATTAAATTTGAAAAAGAAAGAAACAAAATATATAAAAAAAACATGTATTAACGTCTTTTAACAAATATATTTTTCTATACATTTTTTTATTTCTCATACCTGATTGGAAAACCGTACATTTTGAAATTATATATTTTCAATTTTCATTCACATTTTCATTTCATCAAAATTCTACGTTTTTAAAAATATGTACGTAAAGGCCTAATAATAATTCTACAATATTTAAACTCAAACAGTATTAAGTGCAGTATAAAATATTCCTATGGAAATATTTCAAAAACTTATATCATTTGCTGAATATTATTTTCAGCTCAAGGCACTTTTCTTTCGAAAAGGGAAACAAAATTCAGTTTCATTTTTTTACCTATATAAAAAAATCGAAGTCTTAGATTTTAACGACATCTTTTTCTAAATTTTTAATCACTACTTGCACACTGTACCCACGCATACTTTATATATATTCATGCTCACACACTAATTAAGTTCTTCACCAACTTTCATGAATGCAAAATTTCGCTCAAGCTTGCGATTTGATTTTCACATTGAAAGTCTAGCCAAAGCACTAAGGGCGATCAATAAATTAATTTATTTTGTTTATAAAGTTTTTTATTTTACAACTGAAATAAATTGCTTATATTTCAACAATTTGTAGACGATACGATTCATTAAAAAATTACAAAAAATTAAAACAACAAAAAATTAAAAGAACACACGACAAGTATTACTTAATATGCTTTTGTAGACAAGTGTAATTAGTACACATGTCTGTATGTAATTAGCATCAGTGTGAAATAGTCAATTTATTGTTGTGATTACATTTGAATAAGTATCATGAAATATTTATTATTATAATAAATAGTTGCATGCAGAAGGCAAAAATACCTCATTAGTTATATATCTGTATGTACCATATGTGTGTACAAAACCAAAGGCAAAGAAACAAATGGCTATATAAATGACTATATAAAAGCAAGCACACGTCCAACAGCAAAAACAAAAAAAAAAAAAAACGAAACAACAATTATAACTGTCCGCTAGTATTGAACCAAATGAAGCGAAATGTTTAAACTAATGCCGAATGCACATACAAATTATGTATTATAGTAAATGTTCGTTGATGCGTGAAATTAGCGCAAGGCCCAATTAAATATAGAGCACAACAGCCCATAGAAGTTTAGCAAATAATTGCTGAAATTAGTGAAATTTAGTGCAGTAAAGTTATAGTAAACCTGTGAAAAAAAAAATTAAAAGACGCTGAATAGCAGCTGAATTTGTTCGAAATGCGCTGAATGGCAACAAAAACTAACAAAGAAAACTTAAATATACATATAAGAAAAATTTAGTGCTCTATGTAATACAATGTGCTGAATTTGTTTAAAACACGCTGAATGGCAACAAAAACTAAATTTTTCAAATAAAAACAAAAAAATATTTAGTGCTGTTTGAAACAAAATGCGCTGAATACTAGTTTAAACACTAAAATTTTATTTCCTGCACTTGAGTTAATCATAAAAACTTAAGGCTGTATAAAATACCTGCGCTGAATTTGTTTAAACAACGCTGAATGCTAGCAAAAAACATAAAATTTGTCTTAGTTACTTGAACAAAAGCAAAACACAAGCGCTGAATTTTATAAGTAGAATTAAATATGCAAAAAAAATTAAAATTAAACTTTTTAGCAATATAAGCCGTTGCTAAATTATGCCAAGCTGAGCTTTAAACTAAACAAGTGCTAAATATATTTTAATAGCGCTGAATAACGTTTTAAACATTGAACTGCAACACTATGTTTTGCTGATTGGAGTTAAACAAAAAACAAATAATAAAATTCAAACTGCAATAAAAAACGCAAAACTAATAAACAAAAACAAAACATATAAAAATCAAAATAAATTTACAAATATCTCAAGCCATAATTTCAAAACACATATAGCTTTACTAATATACGAATGTTTAAGTTCAATTAACAATTAAGTGCAACACAAAATTTTAGAATATAATTACTATTTTTTTAACAACAAAAACATTTATTATTAAATAACAAAATACAGTTTTATTAGTACTATGTACTCTTCGTTGTATTTTATAATTTTTTCACAATATATATTTTTTTACTAAAGAAATATTAATTATTTCGCTAAATAGATATTAAAACGTTCAGGTATGACTCGAGTAGTGCAAATGTATGAAACGTATATACAAAAATGAAATGTAAAATGAAAAGCCAAATGTGATGTTACAACAATTATTTTTTTTAACACAAATTTACCAACTAATTATTTATAACAATGAACTAGCATTAATATAAAGAGTTTTAAGCAAATCAACTATCTCGATGACTGTCTATGAAATAAATATAAATATTTTTAAGCTAATATAATAATTGTAACATATTGTTGATAACTGAAAGCTTTTTTATTAATAATTTATTTTTCCAAATGGGAAAATGTGTATACAAAACCACAGCCCTAATACCTAATTTAGTGATATTTAATATGTGACAAAACAATGTGTTTAAGCATAAAAAACATTTAATTATAAAAATTATTTATTCTACATACTATACGATGTAAACAAAAATTAAAAAAATCAAAACAAAAAAAACTAAAACTAAAAGAAACACTAAATCTTGAAAAAATAACGGAAATAAAACAAAAAATATTTGATGTGTCTTAAAATAATGTCTTTCACTACAAATTTTGGGGGAGGGGTTTCTTATCGGAGGTTTACTGTCGAATTACTACAAATAGGGAAGTTGTTTCAGAATGGTTGAATATTTTATGAAAATCGTAAGTATGAATCTGCCGACTAAGTACAATATAAGTATAATAATTTCATATGTAGATATAATATATTAGACCAAGTACGGAGAAGTTGTTACCAAACAATGAGTAACGGATAATATCGATGAACTTTTATAACAATTACACAAACCAAATGACGTGTTAGAATAGAACAGAAAGCTATTGAGGTATGCACTGCGACCTATGGTCTATTGTGCCCTACCCTTTTTCACAAGGACTCACTTAGACTCAGTATTTATATATTATATATATGAAGGTGCTATAATTCAATGATCGTGGTAGTTACTAGAGAGTCGATGCGTCCCTTCTAGGGCAGAGAGATCCCAGGGCCTTATTCTTGCATCTACAGATTGCTACGCGATCAAGAAGCAGTTGCTCTTGAGTTTCAGGTTCCATATCACAATATCTACACATTGCAGTTGAGACTAAGCCTATATTATATAGTTGTATTTTAAATCTGCAATGACCGATGTAGATTGAGGCGAGAAACTTGAATTTGTTCCTAGGCAGGTTAATTGTTTGTTTGAGCCTCTTGAGGTTGCAACTTCCCAGCAGCAATTTTGCTTGGCGCCACCCATTCGTTTGCTGTCAATTCATATCTCTCTCTGCCCTTTCCTTTGTATATGAACTACTTCATAGAAGGATTCTGGTCGCGGCGGCTTGATAGCCGCTGCAAAACAGGCAAGAGCATCAGCCATCTCATTCTTTCACTTCAAATCTATACCTTTGTGTCCCGGTATCCTGATGAGGTGGACGCGGCTCATTCCTAACATATAGTTGCACTGAATGTTGATCTCTACACATTGACTTATTTTAAAGACTTCTGCCTGAAAAATGCTCGGAAAGCAGCCCTTGGGCGCAGAGACCTTGGTGAGGGGGCCTACAATGCCTACATCAATGTACCCCGATGCGTTATAAAAGGTCTTTTTTATGTTTATAAAACTTTTATTTTAAACACACAAATGTTAATGAAACTGCTAATATTTTGGTTTCATTAGTTCGAATATATTCGGTTCAGGTATATTCGCATGGCCAAACCATCTCCTTCATATCCAGACTATTTTGTCTATCCAAATATATCCCTCAATTAATAAGTAATCTCAGCAAAGTCCATTGACGTGATGAATAGAAGTAGACTAATGGAGTTAAATCGCATTGCCTAGGCCAATTGTCAACTAAATTTCTTGTTATAATTTAATCACCGAAAGTCCGTCTCGTTAAAGAATTGATGGTATAGTTGAAACCTTAAACCGCCTCGTGGGAGCCCCAAAGTTGCAAGT